GCTATAGAACATATATACCACAGTCTTTATCATGTCCTACTAAGATATAGTCCTCTCAACAAGGATTCTTAACTGGAGGTCCATTAACTTGTCTTTTTTTTCTTCAATATTTTGATAACTATATTTCAATATAATTGTTCTCCTATGTAGTCCTGTATATTTTATTTTACTCATTTAAAACATTATTCTGTCAAAGGGGTGCCTGACACCAAATGGTTAAAAGAGGAGGAAGGAGAAAATATAAGAATTTAAGTTCTTACCTACTTTATGGACTAGGTAATAGGATTCTTGTTAAATGCAATAAGACCCTTAAATTTGGGCATTGACACTTCCCACTATTGTATCTAGGATAAAAGACAAACTCTTTGGGGATTTGAAAGCCTTTTACAATCTTGCTCTAGCTACCTTTCCAACCTTACTGACCAGAACATTACTCTCCTTTATGTGTCTTTTTTCTAGCCAAACTGCCCTGTTATTCCCTGTACATAACATCCCATCTCCTACCTCTCTTCTTTTAAAGGCTGGACTTCATACCTGGGGTAGACTCCTCCCTCATCTCTTCCTCTTAGGTTCTCTGTTGTTGTTGTTTACTAGTTTCAGTTGTGTCCGACACTTTGTGATCCCATTTGGAGTTTTCTTGGCAAAGACACTGAAGTGGTTTACCGTTTCCTTCTCCAACTCATTTTACAGATGAGGAAACTGAGGTAAACAGGGTTAGGTGACTTGCCCAGGGTCACACAACTAGTACATATTTGAGGCCAGATTTGAAGTCAGGGAGATGAGCCTTCCTGACTCCAGACTTGGCACTCTATCTGCTGCACCATTCTCACTTTCTTCGAATTTTTCCCCTTTTCTCAGATGCTGTGGTTCTTTCTCCAGAAATTACTTTTTGTGTACAGTATCCTGTGTTTAACTCTCTGTGCATGTGTGTTTATTTTCTGTGGTATGTTCATTTCTCTTCCAACTTCCTACTGACTCTCCAGACTTTTCTACCACCACCTCAGTAGCCTGAGCCCTGGGGGCTCCCTCCTTTGATTGGTGAGTTCCTGCCCAGGACCACCATGTAAGGAAGGAAGTGCTGGGGCCATCCATGCTCATTTCTCTCCCCACTGTGCTCTTGACTCTTCACCTTTTCCCATACTCTCTCAATTCCTCTAGCTCCCTTTTATGTGATATCTTGTAATATCTCCCTTTATATGATATTAGAATATAAGCTCCTTGAGGGTAGGAATTTGTCTTTTTTTTGGTTTTTATTTGTATACCCAGGCTTAGAATAGTGTCTTGAACTAAATAAGTTCTTTTTGAATGAATGAATAATAATACTTAAATACTTCAAAAGATCTAACTATATGGATACTCCCCTCTGCTCATTCAGAGCACCTTGTCACCCGTATTCCATAAGCTCCTTATTGCCTCCAGGATCAAATGTTCTGTTTGGTATTTAAAGCCCTTCATAATCTAGCCCCCTCCTACCTTTCCAGGCTTTTTATAGCTTACTCTCCAACACAGACTCACTGATCCAATGACACTGGCCTTCTGACTATTTCATGAACAAGTTACTTCATTTATTTATTGGCTCTGGGCATTTTCTCTGACTGTCCCCCATCATGGAACACTTCCCCTCCTCAACTCTGTTGACTTCCCTGACTTTCTTTAAGTCCCAACTAAAATCCCACCTTTTTTATAGGAAACCTTTTCCAACCCCTCTTAATTCTAGTGTCTTCCCTCTTTTAATTATTTCCTATTTATCTTGAATATAGCTTGCCTTGTATATATTTGTTTGCATGTTGTCTCTCTCATTACATTATAAGCTCCTTGAGGGCAGGGACTGGCTTTTGCCTCTTTTTTGTATGCTCAGCACTTGGAGCTGCACCATGCCTGGAATATAGTAGGAGCTTAATAAATGTTTATTGATTACTGATTGATTCATTGATTTATAACTCCTCCCACACCTTAGTAGTTTTCATAAATTACTTTGGTCGAGCAAATGTTCAGCTTTTTGACTAGATCTGTCCTTGGACATCGGGCACATAATTAATCCCTTAGATATCCTTGAAATCCTTCCAGCTTGGTAGGACCTACCAGAATTTGCATTTCATTGCTGGCATGGACTTTGAGAACTCAGGATCACTTCTATGCCATGATGAGGTATCACCGTAGGACTTTATTGTCAGGAAGACATGAGTTTGAGTCTTGCCTCAGGTACTCCCTGGCTGTGTGACTCTGAACAAATTATTTAAATTTTCTGTTCCTCACTTTCCTTATATGTAAAATGGACATAATCATAGTACCTGTCTCATGGGGTGGTTGTGATGCTCAAATAAGCTAACCTATGTGAAGTGCTTTGCAAACCTGAAATTCTGTCATCATCATTATTATTGTTCCAGGTCAATTTTATTTTATACATGAATGGTAGGCAAAACTGTTCAAGGATCCATAGTACTCTTTGTAAGGAAAGGAGGAAGAAGCTTTCCATATAAGAGGTCTTATGAGTGGCAGGCTCTTAGGTATACCTTTTCCCTCTTTTCCTCTATAACCCTAACAAGCAGGATTGTTTAGCGCTGAATTGTATACATGGAGTGGGTGAGTGAAGTGGAACTCCTGGCTGGTTGAAAAGAATCTGAGGGATGTGAAAAAAGACTGTGGAGGAGAGACCTGTAGCTGGAGTATGTGGCTTTGTGACTTCCTCCTCTCAACAGGTCAGTCTCTTGTACCCTGATCATATGATGGTTCAGCACCCTCTCTTACCATAGAGAAGGTGCTGGGTATTATCTAGGGCAGGAGTGGTGTGGGTGTGACTGGTGTATGGAAGATTATCTGGGAGCAAGTTTGGAAGGGATGAAAGGGTTAAGACCAAGTTAGGCTGGAGACAGAAGTCTCTAAAAACGCTCTCCCTAGGACTAATTCTCTGATGACTTCCTGCCCCATTTATGCTTTGTTTGGCCTCTGTTAACCTGGTACACCCACTAACCCTACACATTTGCTGGGATAGCACCTGCTAGGATGAACAAAGGACTTCAGTCACCTTCCATTAGCATTAGAATCATGGCAATAGCTGTGGCTTGCTTGTACAGAGCTGGAGACAGTCCTTACATTTTTTGAGGGGGGGGTGGGAAGGGAGTTCCTCTGGATCCCATTTCTCTGGACTCCCTTTCATACTCTGTTCAGAAATTCCATTTCTGGCCTCTCCATTCAACCTCTGCTTATACTGCTGAGGTTAACTTAGGACTTCAGACTAAGAAATGGAAGAAGCAAGGCCTGATCAGTAAATAAACTAAAAAATGAAAAATTCAATTTAAAAGGGGGGAAGGGTATCAGATTGTTTGATCTATGTGACCAAATAACTTCTCTTATTTTTTCTACTGAATTTGCTGACTGCTTCAATGCCATATTATGGACTTAGCCTTTATATTAGCATGTGTCATCTCCATTTTTTTTCTCTTCTCTTCATCCCTTTCTCCATTTCTTTCTCTCTGAGACTAATTTATTTCTCTGGTTCTCCCCCATCGATTTTGGTGCATGTGGGACTAGCTTTCTGACCACCAGACCAGAATTCTATCTACTATGTAACCTAGTTGCCTTTATAATTTTGGGAGGTGGGGGTTGGGGGGAGGAGTGGAAAGCATGTTGAAAACAAACAACAAGCTGATTCTTTATTCTTTATTATAGTATATATTATTTACTGTGTGTGGAATAGAACCACCCCCCAAAAAACTCAGCAAGCACAGCTGAAGCCCAGCCCAAACAGCCAGCAGTTAAGGAGGAAATTGTTACTGGTTAGAACCTCCACCCAGGTCTCCCCTTTACATTTACATTCCTTCCTATCTTTACCTTGTGTTTGTTTTTGTTTGTATCTCCCCTGGGAACCTTTTTCCTACAGCCACACCTTCAGTATAATGATAGCTATAGAACTGGGACACTCAAGCTGATCATGACCAATTAGGATGTCGGTGAGGTTTCCTAATATGATTATGTGTGTTTTGTGGAGCCTATGAAAAATGGTCTGTCATCTAGTGCCTTTATACTGTTTTATGGACTGTTCCTAACCATACTGCTACTTTAATGAACTTTTCCCAGTGGAAGGAAGAAAGGGTGCAGTATGAATGAAAGCCACAGACTTCTCCTACTAAGTGCTTCAGAAATCACCTTGCCTTTTTGTTCCTGGTGAGTGTAACAGGGCATTTAGCTCCATTTCCAAAGATTGCTTTGTTCTAGGGACCTTGAAAAAGTGCAGTCCTTAGAGAAGTACAGGGGGTTGGACCTGAAGGAAGACAAGAAGACTTTTTCTCTTTTCCTTCTCTTTGGGATCTTGTGGTTGGTAGAGAGGGTTGAACTAGAGGAACTTTTAAGTCCGACCCTCTACAATTTTGCTACATAGATTTGTGGAAGGAAAAGCAATTTAACCAACACTATTCTCCTTTAGAATGGTCTTCTTTGAGTTACCCTGGCCTAAGTGGAGGCAACTTGCAAATTTTCTGGGAAATGTATCTATGGAAATAATTTATTTAGAGCTAGAGGGACCTTAGAGATTATCTGGTCTAGTTCTCTAATTTAAGAGATGAGATCACATAAGTAATAATTAAGAGCCATATGTGGGATTTGAACCCGGCTTCTCTGAATAAGGGGAGCTAGGTGGCACAATGGATAGAACACTGAGCTCAGAACCTGGAAGACTTATCTTCATGAATTCAAATCCAGCCTCAGATACCTACTAACTAGCTGTGTGACCCTGGGTGAGTCACTCCCCAGTTTGCCTCAGCTTCCTCATCTGTAAAATGACCTGGCGAAGGAAATGGCAAACTACTCCAGTATATTTGACAAGAAAACCCCGAAATGGGGAGAGTTAGACATTACTGAAACAACTCAAAAACAGCCTCTGAATATATAAATGCAGTATTCTTTTCCATGTACCATGCTGTCTGTCAGGTTTTGTTTGTTTTGAGCATCAGCGATCAATTGAAAACAGACTGCTGGATATTCCTTTTTTCTCTCACTTTCAGTTCCCCTTTCCTAACACACCGTCACCAAAAGCAAAACACACCCCTTCAAAATCTTATGTGGAAGAATTTTGTGAACACCCATCAGTGACACTCTAGTGAACTGAGAACTGAGTGACCTGAAGGACTGATCTGAACTGGAAAACGTGAGTAGTGTTAAGGGAACCTGATTGACTTTCTATAGGAAGTATTTAGTTATTCTAGAAGAAATTATAATGGAATGACATTTTAGGTGAAACATGAATTTCATTAATGATCAGGAGAGCCAAGCACTGCCAGGGTTGGGAAACCTGCGACTAGTCTAAGGCGGATTTTTTTTTTTCCCTGCTGCCCTTCTTGTTTGTAACACAAGTGAAGATCTCTACAATGTTACTATAAGTTTCAATTGAATGGGAATGACCAGGAAGACGAGAGAAGAGGGAATCTTGAGTTTTTAAAAATAGATATTCCAAGACCTGCAAGCAGAAGCTATATCAAAGAATTTGCAGTGAGTTAAAAACCTGTGTTTATCAGTGAAAGTGATAGAGCAAAGACACAAACACTTAGCATTTGACGAGATTTTAAACCTTGGGGACAAAAGAAGTGGCCAGAGGAGAATAGCTTCTTTATAGCCATTGTGAACATTCAAAGAAATAAATAAGGTTTTTAACTTCTCTTTTCTCATATGGTGCGTTAGTGGCTGTCTGTCCTCCAACCACAAGTAGATGATAGTCATAATGACCCCTTAGGGAAAATAATAATGATTTATATTTGTTTTAAGCTGAACTACATTTTTACAACTTAGAAAACTCCATCTGACTCTGGCTTGGGGAAATCGGATCATTCTCAGGGCCTTCCTTGATAGAGCTTTACTAAGAAGCTTGTCAAGCTACTATACGTTAAAAAAAAGTCACCATCACTTAAGTGGACACAATGTGAAAATCAAACTGTATGAAAAAAAGGGTTGTCCCCCCCATAACATTTGAAATTCAAGTCAGTCAACAAGTGTTCTTTGAGTCCAATCACCTAGTCCATAGATTAAAGAATTATCAGAAAATCTTAAAGTGAAACTTGATTTGCTTTTTCCTATTGAAGAACTGAGAAAACCTACCTAATTATTCATTGTTTAAGAAAACTAGCCATAAAATAGAGGGAGAGGTGAAAAAAAACCAAGCAATTCTCAGAAAATCATTATCTTATTTTTAACATGGGTTCCAAGAGTGTATGAAGGACAGAGCAAGAAGTCCTTCTTTCCTTAAACACATTCTCTATTCCTTTGCTTTTTGTCTGTGCTGTGTTAGTATTTAAATATTCCACATAAGCGCAGATTTTACCAACTTTCTTTGGAGAGGAGCCAGAAGGAGGTGACTGTCTTGCAGAAATCCTGGTTGTAGGAGGTTGCCTCTGTTGGTTAGGAGAAATTGCCATTTCTAGAGTTCATACACCAATTTTCCTCAAGTTTATCTTTCTCTCGACTTTCAGGTTTGTAAGAGCCTCATGTTTTCCTTCATATATTACTTTGCCAAGCCTTTCTTTCTGCCTTCTCTTTCTACTTGGCCTTCTCTGAAATTCTTTCAGTAGCAACAAGACACGTCTTAAATTTTTCCCTTAAACTTTTCTGTGAAGGAGGGACATAGATTTTTCACCAAGGAGCCAAGTCTGTCATGAATTGCCGCAGAATTTGTTACGGGAGTCTAGAACAACAATAACAACAACAACAACAGTAACAACAGTAACAACAAGGTTAATTGGTCATAGGCCTTAATCCATAATTTTAATGCTATTAGTTAACTACTTCGCTTTCCCTCCCTCCTACCTTTCCTCCCTCTTTCCCTGATCCTTTCTTTTCTTCCTTCTCTCTTTCACTACCTCCTTCCTTGTCTTCTTCCTTCCTTTCTTCCTTCTCTTCCTCCTAACCTCCCTCCCTCCTTTTTTCCCTCCTTCCTCCCTCCTTCCTTTCTTCCCTCCCTGCTTCTCTCTTTCCCTCCTTCCTTACTTCCTTTCCTCCCTCCTTCTTTCTTTTCTCCTTCCCTTGCTTCCTTCCCTCCTTCCTTTTCTTCTTCTTTCCCTCCCTTTCTTCCCTTACTCTCTCTCTTTCCCTCCTTACTTCCTCTCTCCCTCTCTTTTCTTCCATCCTTTCCTTCTCCTTCCTTCTTTCCTCCCTCCCTCCCTTTTCTCCTTTTTTCATTCCTTCCCTTCCTTCCTTATTCCCTCCCTTCCTTTCTTTCTTCCTCCCTCCCTCCCTCCCTGATGGCATTTCTAGTCTTTCAGATCCTATGATTACTATTTTAATTTTTCCACACAATTATTTGATAGTTGGAATTTTATGTACTATATTTAAAGTTATAACTAACAGGAAAAAAATCCTAAACCTTTTTGGCTTTGGACAGTAAATGATACATAATTTTTAAAAAATGTTTTTTTTCTGATTTGCTGTGGTTTGGGCATATCCCTTGTGAGCCCCGGGTCAATTGCTTTGTCATTATTTAAGCCATGTGAGCGTTCTGCCTTTACTTCAGCTAATCTTAACTTTCATTCTCATCCAATTCTGCAGCAGTCATGTAGATTCAATAAGTAAATGACATATTTTTCAATGACATGTAATAAATAAAAATATATTATTGTTTTATTATTTCCAAGAAGGTACAGGAAATAATTGTTGCTCTATTACTCTAGTGCATGAGTTCTTAACCTGGAACCTGTGAATTTTTTAAAAAATATTTTTTTATAATCATACTACAATATGATTGGTTTCCTTTTATAATCCTATGCATTTTATTTTATTCATTTAAAAACAATTCTGAAAAAGGATACATGCATAGGTTTTAGCAGAATACCAAAGGAAACTGTGATACACTCAAAAAAAGGTTGAGAAACCTTGGTCTGACACATATTTTTGAGCTTTTCCTTCTTAGGACTCCTTTCTGTATTTACCACTTGTTTTGTTCTTTGACTGCAAACACCTTTTCTTCGCTATTTACTTTTCTTCTGTAACTTGATGGACCTGCTTTCTTGTGAGTGTGTATGCTTCCTCCTCGGTTCAGGTCACAGGCTGTCCACACCTCCTCATTCTGTGTGACTCCTGTTCATGCCCTCCTGTGAAACCAGTATGGGGGATATGCCCACGGTGCTGGGGACCTTGTTCTCGATCTCTTCATATTTAGTGGATTCAGGTAGAGCACAAGAGGGTCTGTTCGATCTCCTATGTTCTTGTCATTTGACCAACTCACCTTACCAGTCATGTGCTCCGATGACGTCCTTTATGGCCCTTATGGCCAATTCCTTGTTGGTCGTAATATCATAGATTTAGAGCTTGAAAGCATTGTAGAGGTCCAACCTGTCATCTTACAATTAGGCAAACTGAGGCCCCAAAAGATTAAGTACCGAGTGGCAGAGGTCAGGTTTGGACCTGGGTTTTTGACTGTCCATACATTGCTTGTTCCTTCTCCTCACCATCTTCCTTTCCAGTGCCCTTTGGATGACCCTCAACCTTATTTCTTTGGAGATGGTTATTAATGAACTATTTTGTCATAATAACAGTATAATATTGGTTGTACTTTACATATTTTACCTAAGTTGATTCCTGCAACTACTCCAAGAGATACATAGTACAAATATTATTGCATCTATTGATCTATCTATTTTAGATCCATACCTATAATTCAACTGTGTAGGGAATTATCAAATGAGGACATTTCCTCAACCAATTCAGATCATCAATTGTTTTGCAGTTTCTAATTTTAAAGCATTTCCTGGAGCACTGAGTGGTTAAATGACTTGCTTAGGATCACTTACAGAGTATATTTGGGAGGTAGGACTTGAGCCCAGGGCTTCTTGGAGAGCTAGGTAGCTAAGTGGTACAGGAGACAGAACACTGGACCTGGAGTCAGGAAGACATTAGCTTAAATCCAAACTCAAACACTTACTAGCTGGGTGAACCTAGGCAAGTCACTCAGCTTTGCCTGCCTCACTTTCCTTATTTGTTAAAATGAGGATAATAATAGTACCGACCTCCCAGGGTTGCTGTGAGTCTCAGATGAGCTAATATTTGTAAAGTACCTAGCATTGTGCCTTGTACATAATACATGCTATCTAGCAGATGCTTAATAAATACCCCTTCACTTCCCTTTCCTTTCCTTCCTCCCTCCCTGTCTCCCTTCCTTCCTATATCCCTCTCTTCCTTCCTTCTTCCCTACCTCCCTCTAAGGCCCATTCTCTATCCACTATATCACACTTTATGCCAAATGATAATAGTCACATTACAGTATAAATTAGATATTTAGTTTTAGAAATTGGCAGCTGGCAGAATTTAGTATTGTAATTAGTTTCTTAATGAATTATTTAATGTTAAGTACAATATCTTTATTTTTAAAAATTTCCTTCTGCCTTTTGTTTTTTGTATTTTAATCCTTTCTCTAAATGCTCCTCTATCTTAATTTTGTCTTCACTTTTATCATTCTTTCCCCTTCCAAAACCCTGTGAGGAAATAATGTTTTGAAATCATTATTATTAATAACAGAAATTATTAATCATAGCAATAATATGCTTAATTTTGTATCTTATAATAATAAATGAACCATTAACAGTTCTCTTGTTTTCTGAAGAAAGATACCAATGTTTGTGTGATCATACCAGAGGCTCGGCTATAAATTGTAAAATGTGAGCTGATTCTATTCACTTTGTATAAAAAAGCACATAATGTCATAGTGGTGGTTGGATATGATTTTAGCTCTCCGTAAACTGCTTTTCAGTTATTTGGAATTGAGATTGTACTAGCTGATTTCGTTGCGGATAGTTTTCTTCTTTTGCCAAACATTTTGCAATCCGTTGAATTCCAGATTTTCATGGTCCATTGACTTGAAAAGTCTAGAAATGGGATTTAACTTTCTCTCTACTCCTTCAGATGAAGATTCCACAGAAATTACAAGGAGGCCTCATTTCTTTTGGCAGCTAGTACAGACATATGCAGTGTGATGGGTTCCTAGTAATCCAGTCATAGAAAGTGACATGTACGATCAGTCTTAATCAGCTATTAGGCAGTTTAGCTTATGTGTTTTCTGGGAAGTGTGCTTAGGTGGGGTAGAGGAGTTTGTAGAATCGTAGAACTAGGGCTGTAAGGACCTCAGGGGTCATCTAGCTCTAACCCCTCATTTTATTGATGGGGAAGTGGTGGCCAAGGGAGAATGTTAGTGGTCCAAGGTGTCACGAATAGTAAGTATCAGAGTCAAAATCACAGATGATTCCTTGACAGTTATAATCAATCGATCAGCAAGCATCTTCTGTTAGGCACTGTTCTAGGTGCTGAGGTCACAGTTAAAAATTAAATTTGCCCTCAAGGAGCCTATATATATTCTATTAATGGAGACAACATATACATAAATAAGTATATACAAAATAGATGCAAAGTATACTTATATAACTTTTACCCTTTGATCAAGTGAGACACAAAGCAGGAATCATGTTTACTGAATGTGTTTACTGTCTTCATGGTGCATGTCTAATGCAGAGTCCAAATGGAACAGGGATTTATTATAGTTGGTGAGAGATCCTCTAGATATCCTGTTTGGGGTTAATGTTGTGTTGACTGCATTGAACCCAGAATCATTGCAGATTTTTCTAAATGAGCTCCATTATTGATTAACTGTCCACTTAGTTCACCAAATAAATGAAGAATGTTTTTTTGCCAAGAATATGATTGGCATTTGAATGGATGACTCATAGAACTTGTCCATCAGTGAATATATCTTGGAAGAACTTGACAAATGGAAAAATGAGTTAGACCAGAATGGAACAGAAGAAGAACTATACCACCTTTGGGAAATTATACTTAATGACCCAATGCTTTACTCTGAAACTAAAGCCTGTGTTTTGTTTTGTTTTGCTTTGTTTTGTTTTAACACCAGTGTTCTTATGATGATGTTATATGGCTTTCAGTCATAGAATATTACAAAATCCAGAGACCAAAGGTCAGTGGAGAGATGCACGGTGGCCATAAGCAAACTATAAAATACAGTCACTGAAAACAAGGGCTTACGTAGGAGAAGTGAAATAAAACAGGCCATTAGAAATGGATGACATTCCCTCCCCACCCACAACTCACATGTATATGTTAAATAGGGAGAGTGCGGTATAACCAGTAGAAATCCTTACTCTACTGTTAGCCATGCAGTATGAAGAGATTTTGAGGACGATCCTCTACCCTCAGTAGGTAGACCTTCTGCAGTGATTTTTTTTTTTTGCAGGAAGAAATAGAAGAATCACATCAGATGGGCTAGAGGGAGTACTCAAATTGATGAGATCACAGCTCCATCCAAGCATTGAGGTATTGAGATCTAATATCCTACCATTAGTAACTCATTCCTTGTGTTACCTTGCTCTCTTTTAAAATGCGAACACTCTTTTGAAGAATACCACACCCCTGAAACTATAATCTCTGGTGTCCCTTCCAGCTCCGAACTGCCAGGAATTGGGGAAAATATTAGTTTGACTTAATTGATCACATTTCTTCTTTGTGCCTAGGTATATATATGGTGACATGTTTATGGGGGAAATTGGCACAGAATAAGAAATCAGAGGACTGAAGACAAAACTGAGTTCTGTTTGATTTAATTCTAAGCTATATTGTTGTGACCCGAAGGTATAGCAATCTGCCTCTCTGTGATTCTAAGATTGCAATTGAGAAATAGCCAGAGCTTGTTTTGCTCCTACAGGATAAAAGCACCTCACTTTTATTTGTTATGGGTCAGCCAGCCAAGACCTCTCACTCTTTACATCCTGTTTTGCTTCCTTCTGTATTGCTAGTGCAATGTTAGGTCTAAGAGGGCAGTGTAAAGAAGTGACCTCAGGCAGCTCTAGACGCAGGCACAGTGGTCTGGTTTAGGGAATAACTCGTTCTTTTCCTGCCTGCCATTCTTTTTTTTTCTTCTTTTTAGCCAGGCAGTAGTAAATAATGTTTTTTCAAACATGCTTCAGGGTTGCATCTGTAGAGGGAGTACCCATACCTGAAATGATAGATCTCTGAAGAATAGAAATATTTGTGATATTGAAGGGACTCAATATGTAATAGGTGCTTAATAAATGTTTATTGATTGATTGAAATGCTTTGCAGAATCACTACTTCTCCACTTTCCCCTGTCCCCCCTTCCATGATAATCCAAGAACTTGGAATTTTCAACAATCTCCTTCTTAAAAGTGAATCACCATTTATCTTCAGGGGCTATCTTCTTTTTTGAAAATTTCTTTTCTAAAGCAATCTGATGCATTTTAGAAATGCCTTTTTTTCTCCAAAGATAAGAATTCCATACTATATAAAATGTGTTTTCTTCTGTGAAAGACTGTGCTGGAGAGGTCCAGGGTTGACTTAGTAGAGAATAATGACATCTCGAGTCCTTTTTTGTTCCCCTCATAATGTAGAAATTCCGATGAATTTTTCCAGTGCCCCTTGAAATGAGGGTGATTCTCCTTACAGGTTGCATCCTGCTCCCCACCACCATTTCCATTGTTTTCCTTTTCCCTGATGCCTAGCCTTTCTTTGTCTAAGCTCTCATGATAAAGAAGCCATGTGGTGTTAATAGTGTTTCATTTTAGAAGCCCTTTAATAACTTAGGTCGCAAGCTTGACAAATAATCTATAAATGGAGTTTAGAAGCAAGTGTATTAAAGTACTAAAGTTTAAGACCAACTATATTAACCAACTGTACAGAGTGTATTCTTATTCAAGATTTACTAAGTAGCTGTATGACCTGTAAATTGCTAGCATGATAGATAGTGAACAAGTGAAAACCATGCTGGCTCTGAGAAGGCAGCATGGTAGTTGATGGGGCGCTGGACTCGGTGTCAAGAAGGATTGGGGGGCAGCTAGGTGGTGCAGTGGGTGGAGCACCGGCCCTGAAGTCAGGAGGACCTGAGTTCAAATCCAGACTCAGACCAAACACTTGACACTTACTAGCTGTGTGACCCTGGGCAAGTCACTTAACCCCAATTGCCTTGGGGGAAACAAAAAAAAAGACTGGGTTCAACTCTTGCCTCAGATATTTATTAGCGGTTTTATCTTAGGCATCAGTTCACTCCTGTGCCTCAGCTTCCTGATCTGTTAAATGAAACCTAGACAAGATAGTCTCTAAATTCCTTCCCAGTCTTAATTTATGATTCTAAGCAAATTGTTTGCTTAATTTTAAGTTGCCAAAATTTGAAAGTTAAAAACCATTGAAGGACTTTATATAGAAAAAAGGATCTACATTTTTGAATGAAGCCTTTTAAGAAAGTTTCTTTGTTTTCCTGACTCAGGACAATTTAAGTTTTAGAGCGTAATACCAATATTTCTTCTGGTATAGGTTTTTGCCAGCGAGAGCAATGGGGGCCAATGTCTTTCTTCTTTGGCTCTTTGTGGTAATGATCCTTTCAGGCCCACCCAGGGTAGGGATAGGGCAAACAGGGTTCAGTGGAGCAAGTTGAAACTTCTCAGATTGGGAGCAAGAGAAGGCACAGCTAAGGAGTTTTTACACTGTTAAGGTCCACAGCTATTGTGCCTCAAGCCAGAATCTATAACTAGAAAATGGGCTCACAAGTTTGAGGCCTAGAATTTACAAATGGTGTCTGGAGCAGAAACATGGTCAGAACCATATCAGCAAGACTACAAGGGTTTAATTCCAGAATAAGCAGGAGGCGACGGAGGTTTTAAAATGAGTATTCAATCTGTTGCCCTTGACGGTTATGAACTTCTGTGTGAATGGACATAGGAAGCCTTTATTTGTTCAATTCAATGAATGTTTATTAAGTGCTTATATTTGCAAAGTAGCATTCCTGGGGGATATAGAGATAAAAACCCAAGATTTCCTCTTCTCAAGGAGCTTATAGTCATGTAGGCCCACAATTGATTCTAGGGATGATGAAAGTAGAAAAGAAAAATAATCATGAGGCAACTGTGGATTTTGTAATAACGGAGCAAAGCTTAGAGAAAGAGAACCCAGTCATTTCCCCTTGGACCTTAGGTTGCATGTATTTATTGTGTAATATGGTGTATTATTGATATATGTACTTTTATCTTACCCCCTTTCTAGACTTGAAGCCTCTTGAAGGCAGGCAACACATACTATTTCAGATTCCTTTCAATTTTCTACAGCTAGCTTAGCATTTCCTAACACTACCTACTTTAGAGCAAGGTCAATTCTAAGCATCAGTGTGGTTTGGTGGAAAGACCATTGAACTCAGAGTTCTAGAACCTGAGTTCAAATCCCTCTTCTCCCACTTACTATCTGTATGATATTTGATAAGTCATTTAACTTCTTTGGAACTCCACTACCTCATCTACAGAATGAGAGAGTGGAACTGAATGACCTAAGGCCCCTTACAGTGCTAACTCTATGATCTAGTGATTCCATGAAGCCAAATAATTTTGTCTCCCTAGAAGCACATTACTGAGTTGGGATCCGAATGTAAATTTTGAGACTCTGTTAGATGTTCTAGAGCTAAAGACATTCAATACATGCCATTCATTTTGCTGCTCCTGGTAGATTACTATACAATTCACAACCTTTTATAGCCTAGTTGATTGAGAAGTTCAGTTTTTCCTTTTCTTTCATTTGTGTGGAGCTCTTACAGTTTAGAAAGCCATTATCATACTGTCTGCAAAGCAGTCACTGCTCTCATGCTGCTTTTGCCATGATTCCTACCATACGCTCCATTCAAACCCCAGGCTTTAGAAATTGGTCACTAACTAACTCCTGATGCCAGTTGCCTAGAGAGAATGAAATCCAGCGTTTCATAAATAAAAAAAAAAATGTGAAACATTTTATAAGGATTGTCATAACTTGAGACCATCTTAATGGAAGCAGAAAAAAAAATCTAGGTTATCAGTGTTAACCAAGCAGATGAAGGGACTTCTTTAGAGAGATGTAACATTTCTAGAAAAAATCTGAAGCAATGGCAGGGAAGTGTGCTCAGGGGTGAAAAACCTCATTGCCAGCCCTATATGTGGAGCTTCTAGCTTGGTGGAGGACTTTCCAGTGTTTATATGGTGCTGGCAGAGTCTTTGAATAACCTCCATGAAGTATCACCTCCATGAAGTATCACCTCCATAGAATATCACCTCCATAGAAGTATTACCTCTATGAAGTATCACCTTCATGAAATATCACCTCCATTAAGTATCACCTCCATTAAGTATCATCTCCATGTAATATCACCTTCATAGACTATCACCTCCATGAAGTATCATAAATAACATTAACAAAATGCTTATAATATAATTTATTATATATTGTAGCACCATGATGAAGTTATTTTTTAAGGACCAAGTCAGTACACATTTGTATTAGAAGTTTGTAGCTTGAAGAACTTAACAAAAATACATTTTAAGTTTGACTACAAATATAACTGCTTTCATCTCAGACTCTATGCTTACTTTGAGGGTTTTGTGTTTTCACTGGTGTGGGTACTTTGGTTCATTTCAGCAAGTATTTGTAAAATGCCTTCTAGGTACAAGACAGAAATTAAAAAAAAAACCACCTCTACCCTTAAGGGACTTAGTATATTGTATTTTTCTCCACTAATTTTAACACTTCTTTGCCTTCTCCTGCTATGCTATTTTTCCTCTTTTTCAGTCAAAAAAAGTAGAGATGATTTATTATATGTGTGCTATACTCAGCCACAAAGAAAACAATCCAGAATGTCTACAGGCACATAGCTATGTGAATTGATTTTAGGTAGGTAGCTCTTGTATTAAAAGATGGAATATCCTACATTAGGGAGGAGTTAAATGGTAAGAAGAGCCCTATATGACATGGTGGAGATAAAGAGTTCTGGGTCAGAAATGTTGTCCTTCCCATTAGACGGTGAACTCCTTGAGAGCAAGGATAATTTTTTCTTGCCTTTCTTTATATCTCTGACACTGAGTATAGTGCCTAGTATATAGTAGGTGATTAACAAATGTTTGCTGCCTAGTTGACTCTCTGACTGAGGTGGGAGAGCTGGTACAGTCCCACATGTGGTGATGTCTCCTGAAGGTTTCAGCCGGATGTGACCAAGGGTCAGGTATTCCATATCTCTATTCCATTAACCTCTGGAGTTGGGCTATGTCAACCTCTGCCTCATCTTTTTCTCTTGCTTTCTGCCGGTGAATTGGCCTCGTCCTCCTGTTGCCTCTCATGGTGAAGCAGAAGTCAACAAAATGGCATTAAGATCAAAGACCAGGCTCTTCTTTGCTGTGTCTTCCCATAAATTCTCCATAGAGGCTCCACTCAATGCATTGCACATTTTGCCTTGGTTCTTTTATTGTCTATTGTCATGCCTGAGACAGCCATATCTTGTCTTTTAGTCTCACTGC